GGATATTTTGAAACAAGAAATGAAGGTGATCATAAAACTATTTTGTCGCTATATGCATCTTTGAAACTTTGTACAGAACGGTCCATTCTGATCTTGTCCGCTTATCCTTTACTCAATAATTCTTGTGGCTTTTTAGGTCTTCTTCGTTAAGTATAACGATCCTATTTATGTGAAAATGGAGAAACTGGATATTATGATCCGACTTGCCCAGCAGAACAATATTGCACAGGTGCTCAGTGAACTCAAAGAGTGAGCGATGTTTGTCTCTTAAGATGTGTTGTAGGCTCATACTAAACCAAACCGGTGGTCTTAAAAATTTCCAATTTTTTCTTTCAGGTACGCTACTGAGGTTGACGTAGATTTCGTTCGCAAATCCGTAAGAGCCATTGGCAGATGTGCTATAAAGGTGATTTTCAGAATTGTAAATCTATCAGAATTTCACTGTACTACTCACCAGTTTTTGTAAAGCATCGCTTATTGCTGAGCCGGGAAGCGGAAGCTTCCGAAGTGCATATTTCATGAGTGCCTCATCCTGTTAATCTGAATAGCAAAAGAACAAAGAGGCTTTCGAAGCTGCTCTGCGAAAAAACTAAGAAACACACTTCAAATTCTCCGCTTTATGCGTCGTAATTTTTATGGCAATTATATTTTTAAGGTGGAAACGAGTAGCGAACGCTGCGTTGCCACGTTACTAGAACTTATTCAAACGAAAGTCAACTACGTGGTCCAGGAAGCTGTGGTTGTCATAAAGGTGGGCTCTTAATGAAAGTTTTCGTACTGTTCTTCTGCACATCACTGCTGTTTATTTTTAGGACATCTTCCGTAAATACCCGAATCGCTACGAAAGCATTATCTCTACCCTATGCGAGGTAAGTTGTTCCCGCTTGCAAACAAGAATTTCTCTACCTCCTACTGGTTTTATAGGCTTTCCATCCATTCTTTTTTTTAAAGTAGATTTGGTAACAGTGAGGGAGAATTATCTATTAAGCGGCATAAAGGACCAGTACAAATCTAATTGTAGAACCTGGACACGCTGGATGAACCAGAAGCACGCGCGTCCATGATATGGATTATCGGTGAATACGCCGAAAGGATTGATAATGCTGACGAACTGTTGGAAAGTTTCGTCGAAGGATTCCACGACGAAAACACCCAGGTATATTTGAATTCAATGTGATGTCATTTGCTTAAAGGGTTACGCTCATCGATATTTTTTTTCTTTTTGTTTTTTTTTGTGCCAGTGAAGATGTTCTCAATGTTGACGCGATTTTTATGTGAGAGGTTATGATAGGTTTTTGTTCTGTATGTACGCGATATGGGAGACGGACTTTGGTGCGTCCGGGGTTGCACGCGGCGAATCGCGCGGCGGGCTACGCGGCGATACCGGACGCACCAAAATCCCGCACCGCGATAATTAAGAGGAACCAACTAGTTTCTGGTTGGCTTTATTTTTGTATTTGTTTAGGTGCAACTACAGTTGCTTACCGCAGTTGTGAAGTTATTCCTGAAACGACCTACTGATACCCAGCAATTGGTTCAACGTGTGCTGTCTTTGGCTACTCAAGACAGTGATAATCCCGATTTGAGGGATCGCGGGTATGATTTATTATTTCGCGCTCCTTGGATTAAGTGTATTGTGAGTGGAGGTTGAGTTATAAGCATAGGTAAAATAGGGTAGTGAACAGGATAAGAGGAAAGCAAATAGGTTTGTGCAGATGCTTCTTTGAGTTAATTATAAAGGCATCCCTATCTTCATTACAATGTTTCATAGAAAATAAGCAGAGGAAAAGCGAAGCCAAAGGGCTAGCTTATGCGTGTAATTGCGACCGTCCCAACTAACTTGGAGAGAAGTGGTCGAATCTCGTTGATTTGCTCAGATGGTGCAGCACAGAAGGTGGGCCTCAATGTAAGGAACAAGGTTGCTTTTGAGCTGAGGCTAATTCGACTGACCGCTCGTAGATCGACCAAAAGGTAGTTATGCTTTTTTGAGGATAGGTTTCTTCATAGTAGTTCAGAGATATGATTGAAGCGCGATCTTCAAGTGGAGGTTAATGAATTGAAGTATTGCTCCTTCACTCCTGTATGAATTTGTCGAATATTATGCTTCTTTTTCAAGTAATAATAACGTTCATCAAAGGAGGAAGCGTTACATACCAAACTTTTTCGTTTTACCTATTTCCTTTTATGTATATTTTTTTCGCTATTTGGAGTGTATTAAACAATAGGGTCAACAGGGTCGTTCAGGTATATATACTGGCGCCTGTTGTCGGCTGATCCCGCTGCAGCTAAGCAGGTTGTTCTTGCTGAGAAGCCGTTAATCTCAGAAGAAACTGATCTTCTGGAGCCATCTCTTCTTGACCAACTTGTCTGCCATATCGGGAGCTTGGCTTCTGTTTATCATAAACCACCGTCTTCGTTCGTTGATAGTGCAAGACAACCACTACGAGCAGGAACTGGCTTCACAAAGTATGGCATTTTTGTATTACAAATATATTATGTTACATGTAGACGATGTTGTCAGACCAGTTTATCGGGTCTTAGTCTGTCACGAAATTATCGCCGTAGGTTTTGCCTTCGTTGCTGCAAATTTGTTTTCTAGTGGTCAGTCATCGGTTGATTCCACCGGTGGAGCTGCGCCAGGTGTCGCTCGAAACGTTGCTCCTACTGTGATTCCTTCACAGGATACCCTTATTGCGGATCTGCTGTCTCTTGATATTTCTACACCTATGGGTGCGATGAATACAATGCCGAGTGAGAATTTTGCAATTTGTACATTTGTGACTTTCAATTTCTTACTCTCCATCCGGACATCTATGTTGTGTTTGCCTGCTTTCGAATCTTCAATTTCTCAGTTCCAACTGGAATTTGGCGAAACCGTTCTCACTTTTCTGGCCGTCAGATGTTCAGTAAACTGTCATTTGTTTGCTTCTTTTCAGCTTACGCTCCGATGTCAACGTCTGGTGGGCTGGACGACCTTTTGGGACTAGGAGGCCCGTCTCTTGTCGAACCTGCTGCGCCTCCAGTGGCTTCCACCACCTTTGATCCACTTGCCAATTTGGGCCTTGGAGCGCCTTCTGCTGCCCCAGTAGCACCTCTAGGTGGTGTGCCAGCAGTACCCGTAGCGTCAGCTCCGGTCTCTTCATCCTTGGGTTAGTGCCTACTTTTTCCACATCTTCTAATTTTAGAGTGCTTGCTTTTTAGGCGGCCTCGGTGACATTTTCGGCGGAACTCTAGGCTTGGTAGACACAAGTTTTGGTTATCAGGCGCCGAAACAGTTGTGGCTTGATGCAGCCAAAGCAAAGGTATGTTGAACAATATTACCAGTCTTGACAAAGGCTCAGCAGTCTTGTTATTTGTTTCGATGTCTTTACATACTTCTTGAGACGCGGAATGAAACATTTCTTTCATTAGCAAGTTTGAATTAGTCTTAGGAAGTGAAGTGCTAATTGCATCATCAACAATCCGATCTGAGCTGGTGTCTTGATTATTGGCTTACCATCGTTGATTTCAGGGTTTACAACTCGAAGGTACTTTCGTTCGTCGCGCAGGGAACATTAATATGGAAATGACCCTGACTAATAAGGTGAAAGGACAGCAAAGTCAAACTGATTTCTTGGTAGCATTTTAAATCATTCCAGGCAATGCAACCCCTTTCGGGATTCGCGATTCAGTTCAACAGGAACTCGTTTGGACTGGCTCCAGCTGAACCTCTCAGGGTTCCGTCTCCACTGATGCCAAGCCAGAGCGTCAATGTGAGTAGTTCTTGCTTGGACAGTGACGATACAGTGCTATAATCTTCTTCTTAGGTTACTCTGCGATGTGATACATCAGGAGGTGTACAGAAAATGGAACCGCTCACCAATTTGCAGGTATGTTCTATTGAAATCCTAGTTAGTTATCTCACTTAAACCACTTGCAAGAGTATTTTCGACTAGTGACTCTTTAAACTTATTATAGTGCTAGAAAAGGATGCTAGGTCAAAGTTGTCGTTCGAATTTAGATTATACTACTAGGTACCATACTTACTGTACTGCTATGCTACTCTTCGGGTTATAACAAATCTGTCTTTTTTTCAAATGTATCTTTTTCAACGATCTCGATCAACAATTTTGTCTGATCATCCTTACTGACTAAGGCACCAATATGCTCGATTTCGATAATAACCCGAAGAGCTCAGTCTCAATACATGCCAAAGCAAATTGGAAATGCGTTCATTTGTTACAACATTATAATACATTACATAATAAATCGCGCGTTTCTGATGAAATCAACGATGATCTCATTTTCAATAACGTTGAATATGTCGGCCATAATATGTGGATCCACAGCTTGCGTGTCTCTGAAATCAAAATTTGAGTCTTCCCCTACTTATATAGTATGAATTCTTTTTGAGGTCCACAATACACAAATTAATTTCTGTTCATACATATTGTTTGTAGAAGGACAGAGATTCCCCATTTAGCAAACTTTCAAACTCCATGAACTTGATCGTTCAATTTATTCAAAACTGGAATTTTTATAGGACTTCCTTGCACATGTCATTACAAAATTTGTTGCCCTGGTAGCAATGTCGGTTCAGGTAGATGGACTGGAGAAGGCCAGTACAATAGAGAATTGAGGAGAAGAAGGTTTTCTCCATCTAATCGTTCATTGGTGATATGCCCTTCCTCTTGAAATTTGTGGTGATAAGGAAAATGGTAAAAGCAAGCGAGTGGCAATGACGTGGAAATTGACCGATCTATGAGATCAATTTCTCGTGATGTTTTGAATTTGATTACGCCCGCCCTCCAGGAGTCCAGCTTAAGATTTTCATCAAGTACTTGTACAGAAATGATACAGTGTGTTTCAGTGACACATATGAAGTGGGGATAATAGGTACACACGGAAAGGAAATTCAGAGAAAGGGGTGAAGGGAAAATCCGAATTCGAACTGCAAATTGTAGAGTTTAGTGGGTAATAATGTAAACCATTCATGCTTCCCGATTGATGCTAGATTTTTTTCTTTTTTTTTCTTTTTTCTCAAAATGCGCCGTCCCTGATCGCGTCGGGTCAATACTTTCAGTTCCCAGCTTAGGAATAGTAGGTAGATCCATTTCAATTACACAATCGACCAACGTATTTTTTATTGAGGCTTGCAAATCAAACCAAAGGTTGCATGGGGTAAATACCTGTAGTTACGAACTGCAAAAATATGACTCAACCCTTACGTGGTTGTTGTTGAGGTAGGCCGCGTTTATAATAGTTCGCGACTCGGGAGATTAGGATAGTAGGCGGTAGGATATTAGGATAGTAGTAGAGTAGGAGATTGCGCTGACAAGATTAGATATGTATCGATTATTCGCTTGAATATCGCCCAATCTACTACTCTCCAGCGATTTCAATCGATACGTATCTAATCTTGTCAGCGCAATCTCCTACTCTACTACTATCCTAATCTCCCGTCAATACATATTTTTCATTGTCGCGTACTATCCTAATCTCCGGAGTCGCGAACTATGAACGCGGCCTTAGCGCTTCAAGCGCAGTTAAGTGTGAATGAGTAATCTAGCTGTTTTCTTTTTGTTCATTCTTTACCTAGTGTTTGGTTGTAGTGCAGACTTATCAACACAGACGTGGCATCAAATAATCAATAGCATCAAAAAACCTAAGTGATGTCGGTTTTACACTGCTGCAGCCTTGAGCACTAGTGATTCTGCAGACTAGCAGTAGCTCGTCTGCTATACCGCGTCTGTATTTCTGAGTCTGCAGTTACGACTTACCTGGGTATGGAAAACAAATTGTAGCATGGGTAGGATTACGTCTCATAACCATAACGTCACGATATACTGAAGTGGGCGGTTTATTTCAATTCTTTTTACTGGTTTCTTCGGGTCTCATCCAGTAAGGGGGCATGCAGTGCGACACTTCATATCGCATTAACTAATCCACAATTGCACTTTTTTTGTTTGCAAGGGCAAGGGAATTTTGGACGTTGGGTGTAAAAGCTAAGCAGAACGGTTCACACTCTCCGGCGAACTGTCGCACCACATGCTCTTCCTCTCCCTTTACTGGATGAGACCCGTTTTTTCTATCAACATCCATTTCATACCCACTGTTAGCAATGGCAAAGAGGAGTTAGTGAATCGGGCAGGACGCCGTTTTCGGGTATATAAAAAAGACCAAAATGGTTATTTTTCAAGATTTTTGTTTCCCTTCCCAGTAAGCATTTCAAAAGAAGGAAAGCATTTCAAAGGAAAGGAATTTTCGAGTCAAATTACTTTCTGTAAACTCTTGTTCCTTTCTTCCGTTTCTGAATGACGTTGTCGAATTTGCTTTCAATGGCTCTGTGTGCACCACTTTCACAGGAATATTGCCATCTGTCAGACCTCGTTTGGATCCTAAAAATCACATAGCTTTATCGAGAAAGATTACTATCGAGTTGGGTGAGGTCGCACCTTCTGTCAGGGAACTATTGAGACGTTTGATGATCTCAGCACGACCCTCATCCGTCTTCGATAACTCCGTCACAATTTCGTTAAATACATCTTGTTTGTTGAAAAATATCAAAAGTCCACAATTTTGGATGGCGTCCACACTGAGTATCCGCTTAAATAGTGAACTGATGACCGGGAAATTTGAAGGGAATGCCCTCATCGAATAATATTCTCACGTCAAGTATTCTTATACTACGTTCCATTGCCGTTCGCTTCTCTTCTTCTTCGTCTTGGACGTTGAAATCGGCCATCGATGTCACAAAAAGTATGAAGTTCATGTAACCTTCTCTATCAGCTGCGATCCACTGCTGCATGAATTCTGGTATTTTCATCTGAAAATTGTCATAATCTTCGTTGTCCGTCTCTTTCTACAGGCACGGTAGCTGATGAAGGTACAGTAGACATACTGGAGAGGTGAGGTAACTGAAAAAAGGAGATCTGGAGAGGAACAAAGATCACTCAAAGGTTCGAAGAAGCAAAGAGCAAGGAAAGCAACAAGGACTAATACAGGGTGGTGATGGTGAGGGGAGGGGGCATAGGGGGAGGTGAGTTAGAATGATCTGAAGCGAAAGATTTTCATCCCTCACTCATTCATTGAACATGGAGCCGTATGCTATTCTTTCCCAAAGGGAGGGGAGGGGGGGAGAGAAGTGGGGACCGAAAATGCCCATCGTTTTCCTTAAGCTCGCCAACGAAATTGCCCTAGAAAATGCTTATTTCTTGATTATTTACCCATGTAAAAGCCTTTTTTTCATTGTAGGAAGTATAGCATGCGATTAGTTGTAGAAAAATTACATTCAGCATCTGAGAGGATTCTGTCTCACAGTAAGGTAATAGTGAAAAAACTACTAACCATAAGTGAGTTGTCACGAGGGCGAGAAATGGAAGGAAAAGAAAGAGCCAGCAGTTGACACAAAAATGCAACGATGTTAAGGGAGTTAAGATTAGGGTTATGAGGCCAACAGCATAAAATGTCGAGAAACAAACGGAAAAGAAAAGAAACAGCTGAGAAAACCTTTTGTGCAATGTAAGCCACGCTCTGAAGAAATTTGGGCGCAATGTGCATCCGAGGAGGGGGACTAGTCTGTAGGATGGTTACTGGGAATAAGCTAACGGGGTGGCACAAATTCTGGAGACAGAGTTTCGCTTGAACACCTCGGATTCCCTCTTTCCCTCTATGGGTTAATCCTGAAATTGAGTGTTTCCGTGAATTTGACGCAATATTACGGGCCGAGCCCACCTACGAAACCACATTACGCCGAAATTTGTGGGTGAATGTGCCGTTCGGGGACTTTTCCCAAGATTCCAAAGAACTTCCGAAATCTTCCTCAATGTATCAAGTTGATGCGTACAAGGAGGATCGTAGTTATCGACTAAATTAACAGAAAAAATGGGTGCTTCAACGTTAGTGTGTACGTTGGAAGGTAAAAACAAATGATGTTCTATTAGGACTTGTTTCGCTCACCATTTCTGTAGGTTGTCCACCCATATCGTGAATTTGGATATACGTGCCGTTAATACTGAATCGGAAGTCCTGTATATCTGTCGTTGGGTGCATAAATTACGTGTAATGACTAGGTCCATAATTAGTGAGAAATTTAGATTTTAAAGTTCCATATGCAACGAATCGTAAGGCTAGTAGGCTAAGGATAGTTGGGATAGGTTCATCATCTTTAGCACGGATTTAAAGGATCATGCGTCTGTCAAGTATCCCTTTTATATGGTTTTGATTCGAACCTCGAGGGTCTTGCTCACAATGTGAAAAACCAGAAGTTTCAGCTTTTCAAGGGTTCACGTGGAAGCATCAAGAAAGTCGGCAAGGGTCACATGTTGACTTCATCAATTACTAATGAAATATGGTCGTTGGATGAAGGGGGTCATGATCTTGCCGTTTGATACTCGTGAACCAACCGCGCTTTTCCTTCGCAGTCAGGCGCACCCTCCACCGGACTGGAGCTGGCTCAAAAATGATCGGCAAAACATGTTCATACATTATTTCGTCTCTCTTGTACATTTTTTCTCTAATATTGATATTTTATGGTTTTTCGCATTTTAACTTTTAACCTCAAGGATTAAGGATTAAAGGAAAGTAATTTTATCCGGCTGATTTTCTGAGTTTTTTTTGTGAGGAAAAAGTCATGAGCGAAAAATCGTGTTGACAAACATAAACCGCTATTATGGGTAGGTGGTGAAGTCATTCAAATCAAAAATTACCGTTTCCAATCGGAAAGATTTAAAACTAATATGATCGTTAACAAAGAACTTACGCTGGGTTGTGAACAAAACTTTCGCCCCAGGCGGGACTAGAACCCGCACCTCTCGCTTTCCGGGCAAGTGCGCTACCAAGTTACGCTACCGAGGCACCGTGTCATCTCCAACTCAGCTTTTCATGGACATTACCATAGCAAATAAAAAAGGGCGCTTTGGCAAGATGCAGAGACATTGTGTTGGCAATGCATTCGGAACCGCGAAGAACATTTCCTTTCTGTTAGAAGCGGGACTGAGCCTCAAGCGTGGGAGGAGAGACTCCAGGATGCGTGAGCAATTTTCATTTGCCCCTGAGATTCTACTCCCTCCCTTATTCTTAGAGGATTCCCATTATCTAGCGCCTGAAAAAGTATAACAAAACAAAGAGAACAAGTCAAAATTGAAACAATACATGAGCGCAGATTTGGTACTCGAATACTCTCTCCTCTAGCCATCAATGATAAACTTCACCGATTTTATTTCTAAACTGGAGAAAGTACCTCGCATGAACGATGTCAATCGTAGTCAGCTCCACATTGTCATCGAATAAGCGTTTAATTTGTTTTTCTGTAAGGAATTTCAACGTTCCATCTTCGATTCGCCATTTCCGAGCCATTTTGTGATGTCTTTCCAGCGTGTCAGCTATCTGCATTTGAAAATTTTGATTTTTCCTTTAAATTGTTATAATTTTGTCTTTGACCATCCACTAACGTTTGGGTCCCGTAATACTTCGATAACATCGTCTCCAAGAGATGACGGAACATCTACATCGAAAGTGCCTTTTCCTTCTTTAACGGCATTGTCGACGACGGCTAGAATTGCCTCCACACTTTTTGAAGACTGGCATTCATGACCCCATTCGGTTGTTTGCTGAAAATTATTCAGGCTTTGATTAGAGAAGGCATAATGCGATGTAAAAAGGGTTGTACAGTAAGAAAAACGAACAACCCATATATGGGAGTCGGGGCTTAGTTGCCCGAACTTTAACCCACATTTCCATTTTTTCCCCAAATGTGGGTCAAGGAGGCGTGATGTGGTATTGACAATAATATAAATAAATGAAATTGCAGAAAGTTCGTATGGACGGAGACAAGTGCGCCACATTCTCTCTCATTGGTGGTCCCTCTTACCGTATCCAAAGTGGGATCCATATCCAAGGGGGATCCACCAATGAGGGCAAAATATTGCATGAGCGTGCAACAGTTTTTGGCGGGCTCGTTTGTGCCCTCATTGAATTTCGACGATTATCGCATCGTTTCCATTTTTTGTGCAGACCCACATCTAGGTGCGCATGTAATGTGCCTTTAAGTCTGCACAGGAATTCTTTGTTATTTCGTTGCAATTAGGACTTTAATGAAAAAAAAAGTTTGTAGAACTGCTTACCGTACCTGAATGAGGTTGTAAGTGGCTGTCATTATGTTATTACGAATAATTTTCCGAAAACTGGACATTTCTTCGCTCGTAAATATATTATCGACTGGAATTTCATTCCAGTCTGCATCAAAGACCTGTAGAAGCAGAGAGTTTGCTTAAGATAAGAAATGAACATATCGATTGTGATGCAAGAAGTTACCTTGTAATTTTTCGGCCGTTCCTTGCATAAGCATTTCAGCTGTCGTACTACAGTTGTCTTACCAGCACCACCAGTACCAATCATAAAGAAACGGACAATTTGGCGATTATTATTCTAAATGAGGCTGTTATATAAGGCAATAGCCAAGTTCTAGTTGTTCTATGAGTGGGGTACTACCTGATATTGATTGACGTACCTGAAATTGAACTTCTTGGTTGCAACATTGGGATACAAAGGAGCCCATTTGGCGATCTAGGAGACCAGTGCACTGACGGCATTCGTCGATATGCGGCGATAAGAGAAGAATTGCTGCGGTCTTCATCATGCTTATCAGAGAATTACGATGTATTCTGTCTGACAAGTGGGCAGCAGAACTCACGAACTACACTCGAGGTTCTACAACTACAACATTTGCATCTTCTCTTCCTGAATTTCATCCATATTCCTTCCCCAACTAACTTCGCTTGGGTTGCAAATCTAGCGATTCCTTTTTTATTCAGATTCATTCATTTCCTTCATTCGTTTCCTCCAGGTTTGATCGGTCTGTGTGTGAAAATCTGGTCGAGGAGGGTTTTTTGAACTCGTTAATAGGCAACTATGTATGAGGACTTTCACAAAATGAATATTGCCCCCTCATCCGGGGTTTGTATGAAACTTCTACCATTTTTTTATTATTCGTGTATTTTTGCTTTTGCCACGAGGTTGTTAGGAGAAAGAATTGATTCTAGCCATCGTTTTGATCATACCGTCGCTTTAGAAGGCTTGAACTACAAATTTTGATAATTGCATACTACCCTAACACACGCCTCCTCCCCTCTAGTGTATGAAAGACATAGCCAGCACGAAAGCAACCCATATATAACTCAAAGGCAAAACCAAGGCAGAAGTCGATTCCCTTAGGTCTGTAGGATAGGCTCCTGGAAGGCAAGATGTGGAACTCGCGTGCATGGAAATCATCCGACCAGGGCGCTAGGGCTTTGCAAGTTTAGCTAAGCACAGCCCGATTAGGAAGGAGAGTGAGCCTTAGTCTGAATGTTTTCGATGGAATTCTTTTCATTTCTTCTTTACTGCCGGCCCATTTCGCGCCAATGCGTTCGCATTCGTGTTCAAGAACCATGCCAATTTGATCCTGTGGCATGCCTTAGAAGGATATGCCCGCTTAGTATCCATCGCTCTGCATTAACGTATACCGAGCGTAAAATTACTAGCTGAAACTACACTTCGCGGTGGAAGCTGTTTGAGCTTCTCTTTTGGGTTCTGATTTCGCGTTGCGTGCGTTCATGAGCTCGCGTCCCGAAATCGAGAGACTATTGAAACGGTAGATGTGACACCTTCTCAACCGGTGAAGCTAGATGTTCGATCTTTAGGCCGATGTCAGACTTTGCGAATCGCGCGATTCGCTAGCGTCTGCGGTCGCGTCGCGGCCAGTGAATCACTCAATTGGCTGGTACCGCAACGCGACCGCGGACGCTAGCGAATCGCGCGAATTCGCAAAGTCTGACATCGGCCTTGAGGGTGGAAAGGTGCGA